TCTCTGGCCGCCGCTTTACTTTCATATACGGAGGGATGCCTCGTATTTGCTTCCCATTTTTCTCGACCGTTATCGGTCTTTTCTAACTTTTCTTTTTTACTTTCTTCTATTTCCTTTTTTTCCCTTTCTTTGTTAGTTGCCCGGCCTTGGTCGGTCTGAGCGGTGCTCCTATCTCTCTATTAGGCGCGTCGTTCATCGTTCACTTAGCCCATCGCGGTCCCTTCTTTTCGGGCTCATTCTTTGGCGGTCCCGATGTAGCCGTCCCTCCCCCTCATTCCATTTCTCGCAAACTGAACGCCGCTTTAGCGCCGCCTTTCCACATAGTCCCGTGGACGAGGAAGAAGAAAAAAAGGGATAGAAAGGAAAAGTAATATGGCGGAGGAGCACGGCGAAACAGAGATAAGAGGTGGAAAAATAAAGAAGAAAAATAAATATGTAAAAAAAAAAATAATCGAGAGAACGAAAGGAGAAAAAAAAAAGCGAGAGGAGGAGCGGCAGAAATCAATTTTCCTTCCTGGCAGTTTGTCGCTCTTTGTGTTCGGCGCTCATGTATGTGAACGCGCGCGTGCGGCTGTGTGTGTGTGTGTGCGTGCGTGTGTGTGTGTGTTTGTGTGTGTGTGTGTGTGTGTGTGTGTGTGTGTGTGTGTGTGTGTGTGTGTGTGTGTGTGTGTGTGTGTGTGTGTGTGTGTGTGTGTGCGGGCGGGCGCGGCCAGTCAGTCACTCGGTAGCGGCGGGACAGACTTCGGGGGTCCCGAAGATATTTGATGATTATTTGCGCCTGTGCTTCCATCTTCCTGGCTGCCTCTCCTTTCTTCCTTCTTTTTATCGGGAAAGGGAGGGGATGAAGAAAGGGAAGAATACGTGCGCAGACTGGCGCTGTCTTCGTTGTGGGCGTCAGGTGGCGCCAGTGCGGCCGAGCGGGGAACGAGGGAGCCCTCCCGGGTCGGTGCGGGAACCCCGGGTGCAGTGTCGGGTCTTTGTATTTGGCTTTCCTTTCCCGGGGTTAGGCTTTGGTTGTGTCCGCGGTCGGATTGCCGACTCCCTTTCCTGTTCTCGAGTCGGGTTGCCTGCACTCGGGATATTGCGGCTCGGGTGGTCTGCGTTGACAGGAGATCGTGTCCTTCTCTTTTTTCGTTTCTTGCTTCGTTCTGGTCCGTCGACGTCTCGTTAAAAAGTCGCCGACGGTTGTCCCGCGGTATCGTCTCTGCGTTAAGCGCCTGGCGACTGCTGGTAGCGGTTCATGGCTGGCTCAACGGCGTTGATGCGGTCGGGACGCTTCTGTCGCCTGCACCCTGGGAATATTTGCTGCGCGTTAGTGTCCTCCGCTTTCCGAGTTGCGTGCAGTGTTGTGAAGGGCACTGGAACTTCATCGTAGCTTTCTTGGGCACTTTGCTGCGAATAACTCTCGAACTGGAGTACTGTTGAAACGTCACTCATGATCCTCATGTGCTTGTGTCGACATGGTCTTTGCGGCCATGTCGAGTTTGCCATTACCGATTTCCACGCTTGCGGACAGGAAAAGAACAAAATGTGCCCCTTGGTAAAAGGCGGAAGGAAATATGTTTTGTAGGACACGGACAGTGCGCCTCAATCGGCCCCTGCGGCGGCCGATTGAACTATCTGAAGAAGGTTTGGGTTCCCGATTTCTATCTTGTCCTGAGAAGGCATCCCGAATGTATTCGGTGACATATTCAACAGTAAGTAGCCGACACGAGCTCAATGTTTGGAAACGCAGTGGCGGCCTTACGTTTAGGGTGCACTGTACCTTTCGTTGTCTTATTATACTTGCAGCAGCTTTTTTTTCTTGTTTTTGTTTTGCGTTATTTTTAGTTTGATAAAAAAAAAATGCACGCAAACATGGTTTAGCCCTGGACGTCATCGATAAGTGACTCGATATTTGATCCATACTTGAATCGACCGAGCTCTTTCGAGGGACTAATCGACTATATATTTTAATCGGTACGCAGTCCCGCTTTGAACAGTTTTCGGTTGGTTGGTTGATCCCTTACACTGCGGTACCTCATTTCAAACTAGATCGGCGACTGTAACGACTCTGCGACATCTCGAAGCTGACATGTGTAGGCCTCGTGATCAATATATCCCCGAGTCTCTTACCGCGTTCTTTTCTCGGTTCCCTGACGTACAGAAACCGAATGCTCCATATTGACCATTTCCACAAGGGCGCCGCTATCTTGAAATATCGTGACTTCCAGTATGGGCGAAAACATCGTTTTCCCGTCACCACGCCAATAGAATACGTTTGGGAGATAAGCGTAACCGTCACCCATTTTGGTTTTACCTCCCCTTTACTTTTTACTATATGTAGACCTTTTCTGTGTACTCTCGTCCCCAGCCACCTAATAGGCGTATCCGGTATGGGCGACGAAAAAATACCAAAACGTTTCAACCCGTAACTAGTAAAAAAATAAAGGGGAGACAAGTGCCTTCTATTGGCGTGGCAAAGGCAAAACAGTGTCTTCGCCCATACTGCAAGTGACATCGATTCAAGATGGCGGTGCACTCGCAGAAAAGGTGTACAGGTTGAAATTTTTATTATTTTTTCGTCGCCCATACCGGATACGCCTATTAAGTGGCTGTGGACGAGAGTAAACGAAACAGGTCTATACACCAACTCAACTGGGCTCTGCTGTGGGCACTGCGCCATGCGTAGACGCTCCATCTTACGCGAATCGGGTTTTTGCGCACGCGCAGTGCCTGCAGATGACGTGGGCAAACGCGCGCTTGTTCGCATTGATAGAAGTGCTGCGCCATTTGTGCCGAATTGCGCCATAAACAAAAGTCTTCTACATCTGACGCTAAAATGGCAATTAAATAAAAAAAATCATTGTGCTATACCTGCGCCGTGATGGGCTTAAACGAAGCAAACAAATATGGTTGGCGGATATAAATTAAAGAAGGAATGGAAAATGGTGCAAATATGCATTTTACAGCATCTCTACTCGCCGTGTGGTTCGTTTCATCCTATGCCAGAGCACAATCGGAGGCTCGAACACATACAACCTCTAACGCACACACTAATAGCGCAAGTCACGGGGCATTCTCTGCACTTGATTGGTGTAGCTGATGAAAGAACACGTATACAGAAAGATGACGAATGCTCTTATGCCGCGATTTATTCATTGGTCCCATTGGCTTTTTATTAACCAGTGTTCATCACTATTTTAATTCGCGATTAATTCTATGATTAGCCATTAACCAAGTAGACTGCGATTGATTTGTATACCATTGACTCATAGCGTCGACTGCACTTTGGCTCAAGATGACACGAAGTATAGCGATTGCTCGCCAACCGCGTTGGCCCCGTCATCGTTTAGATTTTCGGACGATGTCGGCATTGCAAAAAACCAACATTCGCGAAAAAAAAAAGGGGGGGGGGGGAAGCGAAATAGTGGAATTCCGGCTACTATATGATAAGACAGAATCAGGGCCTTCTACTCTAAAAAAAAAAAAAAGAAATAAATAAAGAAAAAAAAAGATGTTTGTGTTTTATTAGAAGATGCAACCACTTTTTAATTTTTCCGCGGTATGAGCAAACAGGTGTTGACATCTGCTCGTAAAGCGTCAGTGGCTGCTCCAAAGCATTTTTGCCTGCTATGCGAAACCTGCTATAAAACGTTGAATCCCACTTTCATCACTGTGCTTGTAAACAGCGTGCTGTTGTTGGTGCAGGGTAAGAAAGCTGGACGAGGAGCTCGTCCTGCTTTCTTACCTCTTTCCACATCTGCAGAGCGAACGCCGAAGAGGAAGCGAGGAGGGACTCACCTCCTCTCCGGCCTTCGCTCTGCTCAAGTGGAAAGAGAGCTTGTCCCGCTTTCCCTACCCTGCAACAGACTATATGTGATAGTCTGTTTTAACTAAAGTCAGAGTGCAGCCAAGGCTACGGGTCAAGGGGGGCCAATCGAACAGTTACAGGGTTCGTCGTCCTTCAGTGCGGGTGTTAACCGCGGCTAAACTCATTTCATTTATTTTACGCTCAAAGCGCCCGAAGGCATTATTACATGAGGGGGGAATAGAATGCATGGAAACATCGTAGCAAAAAAGACAAAAACACTCGACGTAGAAAACAGGATGTGCCATATCGCGCACGCTTATACACAAATGTATACATAGCAGCTACACGCCAAACGAGCAGGTGAAATCGAAAGGACTTGGGTAATTCCACAGATCCACTCCTAAGGTGTGCACAATCTTGTATGCTTACGACATTTTCAGAGAGCTCATTCCATTCATGAATGGCCAACATCGAGGGAGGCTCGGAAAGCCGTTTCGTGCGACTTAAGGGTATAGCCTGACTTTATGCTGGTGGTCGTGCCTAGGAAAGATCCGATGCGGAGGAGGTGCACGTAGTCAAGTTCCTTTTGTCAGTTTAATTTTTAGCTGAACTATGCGGAAGTCCGCCAAAATGTTCCCTTTCCATTTTAAGGTATAAATAATAATAACGCATTCGGTGGATAAAAGTTAGCCGCGACAGTTTGCGCTTATTGCATAAGTGATCGAGGCCAGCCTCGGACTTTAATGTTGCCACACTAGACGCGAACGAATAATCTCTAAAAATAAAACGACAGGCCCTATTCTGAACGGGCTAAATTTTTTGTATTAAATAATACTGCCAGGGACTCTGAATAATGCTAGCATATTCTAGCTTTGAACGAATAAAGGGTGTATAAGCTAACAATCGTACTTCACTATAGTGCCAAAATCAAATTCCTTCTAAAGCAGTGCGAATAGCTTTGCTCACAATATAATCAATATGCATTTTCCAGTGCGCAGTGAATGCACCATGACCTTGCACTGCAATCTTTGCGCCCGTGTTAATGTCCCTTCGGACCCGCCAGAGCGCTCATACGGAAGGAAGGAGGCATAGCACGCTTGTCGACGTCGCATTGATCCAATATGTAAACATGCGCAGACGAGAGCCGATCGATGAACTTCGTGTAGAGGTGCCGTGACCTGATCCGTGTTTTTCCTCTCTTTTTCAGTGCGATAGTGAAAGTGACAGCGAAAGGGTGAGTACGCTTCGCCATTTCCTTCCCCGCCGCTTCACGGACTTTGCGGACAACCTTCGGAGGACCCAGGGTTCGGTGCCGGACCAACTGAATCCGTACACGGGAGCTTCTGTGGCGAGAAGGCAAATCTCGTTGGAGGTAGTCTGACTCTGGACAGATTCACGAGTCTCGCCGTGTAGATCGCTTGCGAAACGGTATTTGTAGATCGCAGACCCCTCCGGATGTGTTGGAATAGGCTCCGCGTATATCTTTCGCGGTGAAATAAAATAGAATGCGAAGACCGTGGGTTCGAGCACTGTGTGTGTCCTACACGAGTTTGAAGATACGAGAGGCTGGGGTATACGTGCAACAGCGCGAGATAGCTAGGGCACGTGTATCGGGCCTCTTGCTTATGTTCGTGTCACCGTAATGCTGCTAGCCGTAACTTTTCAATAAAAATCGACGTTTTTTGTTGTTTTTTTTTTGTTTTTTTATTGTAGAAAGCTTGTGAAGGGACATTCCCCTTTCACGTCGCACCGGATAAACGGAAAAAGATGGAACGCAAAACGAAGCAACTCCGTCTTCCTGGTTCGTCTTCTTCTAACTCTTCTCTATCGCTGTTTTCCGAGATTTCGGTGTATCACGATGCTATGCCGACTCCCTTTAAACTCGCGCCGTATACAGCCCTGAGTGTCAAGTTGATGGGCGTGTTATTGAAGACTTGAGCGCGTTGCGCGCCCTCCGTCGGCGAGGCTCCTAACCAGTTTTGGTTTTCTTTGTTCTATATTCAGGCGCACGCCGCGTCGAGTTTAGTCTCGGGCGATAAAAGAGCCCTCTTGGCATTGACTTGCAAATGCGCTGCCGTCATTTGCGTGGCCCCGTCAGCCGACCGCCTTCGCGCCACGCTCGGCCTCAGACTCGTTCCAGGGGCTGCGGAATTTGAATGAGTGTGCGTCGGAGATAAACCCATATAATACAACGTCCTTTTTTTTTTTTTGCATTTGTTGTATATTGAAGTTTTTTTTCCCGTGTCGAGAAAACAAGACGGTGCTTCCCACGGAGCTATACCTCCCGGTGCTAAATGTTTCAGGAAGTCACGAGGCAACTGAAAGGTGCAGTGACAGCGTGTTGTTTGGCGGGCGTCTGCTCGAAGCATTACGACTATCCTATCTACGGCGCGTGAAACATTACCCAGGAATAGGACGCAAAGAAGGCGGACGTCTGAGAGAACGGGGCATACGTGACGACCTTGCTTTAGGTTCGCCTGATTTTCCGTTTGTTTGAACGCGCGATAATAAGGGAGAATGGATCGATCGTGCCGCTCCCATGGGCACACGAAGCGTCCGAGTCGGCCCGGGCGGAACGTCGGAACAATTCCCCAAGCCGGGCAGTACAATGTGGGATAGCCACGCGAGGTCTACCGGGATTTTCCGGAATGGTCTGTTCGAGCGGGCCCGTACCGTCGACGGGTCGACCGCTATACAGGCGCGTATTACTGGAGCGCGCTGCGGGCTCCTCGGTCCGGGCTCGACCAAAACCGCCTACGTCATCACCAGTGGTTGTACGCAGCGCCACCTTGCGTCTGCATTGCCGCCAGTGCGTCTCCCTAGCGGTATTATAATGTACGCTAGAGGTTCAAATGGCGCTAGTGTGCTGTGCCAAATTGAAGCAGACCGCGACCAGTCGAACACTGACTTCCGGTAATGCATTTCTATGGGAAAAAGTTGGCGCATTTACTCCTTGCGCTCGATTGTAAGTGTAAACATCCCGAATAATTCGTACGTATATACTAGGTAGCTCGGAACATTTCTCGGTCAGGCAGACGAAACATTTGGTCAGTTACGACGTTTTTCTTTTTGATTCATCGCATTGAAAACGGCGCTAACAGGGCTTCCTACGCGTATTTATGTGCACTGTCGGACACTGTTACCGCGAACATGACGTTGGCGCTTTCCAGCATGGGGCATATACGTGCCGTAGCAACGAAGGACATCTGGAAAATTAAGAGAAGCGGCAAGAACTACGCAGTAACACTGCGTGTGCGATGAAAATAAATTAAAGGCCACGTAATAAAGTCCGATTTTCAATAAGTACCTCTTTATTATTTCTGCTCTACGAAGATGCTTGTTCTGCGTTTAAAATATCAGCCGCACGCTCGAAATCTTTGATCACAAGTGCCTCATAAAAGCTGCCAAGCGTAGAAAATAATGAAAAGAGACACCTTTCGTAGCTCACGTACTTTATTACGTTTTGAATGTTTTTAACCGCTCGTAAAGCATTTTCATATAGCGACAGGGCCTGCGCATTAGCAACATATAAGCGCCGCCGGAATGTTGGCGAGCCTCGAACACACTCTCCATTTCTTTCGATTGTTATTTCGCTTAGAATAGTCGCTTGTTTCGCGCACCTTCCGTGGAAGAAAGGTTTGGGCCTGAAATATAGAGAAGTCTAACATCGTTCACGGGTGCCGAAAACTGCTGTAAGTGAAGCAATTATACTTTCGTAATGTTAATGAAGGTACATACTACTCGGTACAACCCGAATGACCAAAGTTATTCGTGTTATTTCCCGGCGAGGAGACAAAATGCACGCACGTTTCCCCATAGGAATGCACAACTGAGTATAGACAATAGGAAGTTTTCGTAGACCGCGCTGCCCCCTCCGCTAAGGGTTCCGCAACGAAGAAGTTGCTACTGCGCCTGCGCACCGATAGCCTTGACTGTGGAGTTCCCGCTATCGTAGCGGGTTGCGGAGGGCCTTGCGGGACGGCGAAAACGATCTACGAAAACTCCCTAATCTTTACTTGCGCCCAGAAAGACTAAGGGATTGGTCGGAGACCCATCTAGGTGTCACCGCGAACTGGTTGCTGTCTGCCTCAATTGGCCTCCCGGAAGTCACATAGACACTAGCGCCAGTTGAACCTCTGGCGTACGTTATGACGCCTAGACGGTCGCGCCTGCCGCTTTGTCGCGTCTCTCGTGGAGCCTCAAGCCTAGTTCACATGCAGCGGTTTTGGCCCTAGAGCGGCGCGATTTCTGCCGTCGCGGCGCTCTGGCCAGCACCAGCAATTCTGCGGCACGAGCGCCGCGACGGCAGAAATCGCGCCGCTTTAGGGCCAAAATCGCTGCATGTGAAACACGCTTCAGGGCGTTGGCCGCTTGGTCGCGGGTCCACCGACGATGACGTCATACTCAGGCCTTGTCCCTGGGTGATATTGGTTCGACGAACTGCATTCAGCAGCGCCCCGGAGACACGGGCCCGGCGTCTCGGCGCCGCTCGGTTCCCGGGCAACGCTCGGGCGCTCTGGCATTGACCCCCGCTTCCTCCCTCCCTTCCCCGGCCTTCGCTGTCCGTCGTCGTGACACCCGGCCACACCAGCCACACCAGCCGAATGCAGCTCCGGAGTTCCCGGGTGGGCCGATAGGGGCGCCGCGTCGCTGGCTTCTCTCTCGTACGTCCATCCAAAGAGCAGATTCGTAGGTCTACCCAGCCGACTCCGACCAAACTGTTATGCTCATATTCGCCGCTATGATTTTCAGCGCAGGCGACGTGTATATGATCTTCGCTACCGAAAGCGAAGCACTCCGGGCTCTTCCGACCAATCAGTAAGAGCGAAGGGAAACGACCGTTTTTGTCTTTTTTGTTTTGTTTGCGCCAGTTTGCGCTCGCTCGTCACTCCAAGCTTTCAAACCGTTCCGCGCGTGCTAAAATCGAAAGTGCGGATTTTACGGCAAGTACGGTGCGACGCTGATGCGCGCTTATAGTAATTAGAGATGTACTACGTCTCTAATTTGACAGAGATTCTGCCGAGTGTTTTGCGTGCCTCATGACGGCGTATTACGGAGTCTACAGCGCGGCGAAGTAACTCGGAGTGCTCATTCTTCCGTTTTCCAACAGACGACAGGTGAACCTCTATATCAATTTTTTTTTTTTTTTGTCAGCGTTCGGAACTTGATTTTTCCATCAGAGCATCGAAATGGATTGCGTATGCAAATCGCCAGGACTTTGGAAGCCTGCCCGGCTTGCCGACGAGCAAGCTGCGCCAGCGTTGTTTGTGCAGCGAGCGCTTCGGCGCTACGGTGTTTGCAAGTTGTAGGAAGATTCGTTTGTGGAAAAACGCGTGCCCCACCGTTCTTGTTACGAATCCGTTGCTGCAAGGACTTGCTCCTCTGGGTGAGTTGCTGTCAGAGCAATCTTCAGTTAATTTGACAGCTTCGTGTTTATATGTTAGGATAGAGTACCGATAAAGCACCTACAGTCAGAGATGGGAGGCACTCACTTGATCGAATGACGTTTTAGCGAACGCCCACGTTTCATCGAACGACACTTTAGCGAATAGTCGGACGCCGCGAAGCGGCGTTTTCGGGTGGGCCAAGTGAGTTCATATTTTTGTAATGAGTTGCCGCAGACTGTCGCCGCGAAGCGGCGTAAAGCGCAGCGCGGCGGATGGGTTAACGCGCGCCCCCGTTATTCGCTAAAACGACCATTCGCTCAAATGTCGCCGTTCGCTAAAATGTCATTCGCTCTTGTGATATGGACCCGTCAGAGATGTAGTCACTCCAAAACAGTAGTTGTTTTCTTTCTTTCTTAATTGCATTGCCTATTAGCGAGTTTGTTTATGGTTTATTTATCGTTTATTCTTATGCAGCTCAGCTGCAAGCCTTTTCCTTTATTTCGGGGTTGATTTGTTTGTTTGGGTATTCAGAAGCTAGTTTAGTTTGTGGGAGTTGTTTATAGAGCCATTTAGATAATTCGATGATAAGTGCTTTTTTCTTAGTTTGTACGTTGAAGTAATTAGTTTCGTTTTACATATTTAACAACTTTACTGTGTTTAGTGCCTACTACAGTTTTTGATTCCCCTTTGAGGGCGGTGGACTGCCAACGGAGTTTGTAGATACGGGTTTGAAATACCGCAACTCATTTGAATGGGGTTCAATAAAAAAATGCATTTCAATGAACGTACTGTTTCTGTTTGATTGCACTGGTATTATCACGTGAAGCGCAGTTGTTGTGAAGTGTAT